ATATAGCTTTGGATTTCATTCCATATATTATATTTGTGGTGAAAGTACTTCAGTTAGATGTTCATGTTCTGAGCCTGATATTTTGTTTACTGATTAAATGTCCTTTTGAAATATTGAATATTTTCTAAAAATAATAAACATAGAAACTTACTTATAATTTTAGGTTTCATGATATAAATCCATGCTTAAATTTCTGATGGGAATATAAGCTTAATACCTATCAGCGAACTTTACCCAAATGAAGCCTATCAAATGTAGCTAAAATGATTATTTCCATAAAAATTATCATGGACTTTATAGATATTTAACACTGAAATACTTTGTCATTTGATAAAGTTGCCGATCAGACAACTGTTAGTTTAGTGAGTTGATTTGCCACCTCTGTGTAACATTGCACTGCTGAATTGTGGGCCCAGGTGACTGCATCTGCTTTCTCACCTCTTTCACTCCTTTCACACCATTCCTCTTCCCGAGCTTTTCATCCACTATTGATCAAAATGAAGGTAGGTTTTTCTTTTAACTAATACTCCCAAATATGTGGAGTTTACTTCAAATGCTACTGTGATTTACTTCATAACAAAAGTAAGAAGCAAGATCAGCAATCATCAGTTATAACTCTCAGAATGAAACAAACTGCATTCAGTCACTTGGTCCAGATTTCTATCCACAAGTGGGAAACAAGCACACCACCACTACCACCTCCACAAAAACCACCGCCATTAGCACCACAAGCGAGTCACTGAGGCGGAAGGACATTGTGTAACCTTCTAAGTACAGGAAACTACAAAGCAAAGCAAAGCCTATGTTTGTTTAAACAACTCCATTAAGGTTAGTAAGAGGAGACCAGATTTTATACTATAACTGCAATCATGTAGCAAACAGATTAATGGAGGGAAAAAGCTGGAATATGTAAGAGCATTGAGATTTTGAATGATCCATTTGGTGTTTGCTGTAGATTTAAAAAGTTTTATGATGTATTTGTAGTGGTGTTGTTTTCTTTTTTTTAAAGATTTATTTATTTATTTGAAAGTCAGAGTTACATAGAGAGGGGGGAGGCCTTCCATCTGATGGTTCATTCCCAAATTGGCCGCAACGGCCAGAGCTGTGCCAATACGAAGCCAAGAGCCAGGAGCTTCTTCTGGGTATCCCGCGTGGGTGTAGGGGTCCAAGGACTTGGCCATCTTCTACTGCTTTCCCAGGCCACGCAGAGAGCTGGTTAGGAAGTGGAGCAGCCTGGTCTCGAACCAGTGCCCATATGGGATGCTGGCTCTTCAGGTCAGAGTGTCAACCCGCTGTGGGGCCCCTGTAGTGGTTTTCTAAAGAATAAAATGTAACTGATCCACTAAAGGGAAGGAACATTATTGATTATTTTAGGAACATATTCAAATTCAACTTCCTCTTGTAGGGTAAAGAACTGAGTTGTTTGACACATAAGGAAGATCAGAAGGGCAAAGAAGCCAGATCTCCTATTCTATTATTCCCAGAAGAAGTGTGCTTGAACTTGACCGCTTGGCTGTATGAGTTTCTCATTCAACTTCCAACACCACCTCAATGCTCCCTTCTGAAAAACAAATTGGAGAAAGGATACCCAAACTTCTGGGAAGGAAGTTTCACTATAGGAGTTAGTTGTGCATGTCTGCTGTTCACTTACTGGTGGTCTTGGGATGAATGACAATTTATACAGAGAGGAGGATGTGTAATCCTGTTTATTCCAGCACAGGGAATATGAATTATAAATAGAAATAGAACTGGAGTTTACTTATCCCTGCTATAATTCATGAGAATATTGGATCATTGTAGTTCCCGTAATCAGTTCCCTGCTTTGAAAATTTTATTTTTTTTTCCCAACGTCATTACTCCAGACTATTGTTTCTCAGGAATCATTGATGAACAGACCACATGCACACAAATGTACATATGTGCTGACTGTCATGTCAGTAAATTTGTATCCAGTACTTACCACCAAATCTCCTAATTTATACAGTTTGATCTTACCAAAGAAATCCATTAGCACTCTGTGTTTAATTGTTAATAGCTAGATCAGTGCATGGGCTATATTACTTATTGAATATATCCACATTATAATATTCCTTACTGTAATGGACTGAATGTTTGTGTTTTCTCAAAATTGATGTAATGAAGTTATGAAGTTATAACCCGTAGTGTGACTATATTTGGAGAAGAGGACTTTAAGAAAGGAATAAGTATTAAGAGGCCACAAGAAAGTGGAATATCCCAGTCTGTTAAGATTAGTGTCCCAATAAAGAGACACCAGAGAGCTAAGTAGTGCTCTGTCGGCCTTTCTCTTTGTTGCTCTGTCTCTCTCTTCTCTTGCTCTCACTCTTACTCTCTTCATACACACAAAGAGGAAAGACAACATTAAGACATAGGGAGAAGGCAGCCATTTATAAGCCAGAAAGAGAGCTTTTACCAGAAACCAACCCTAACCTTAGTGTAAGACTTTCCAGGCTCCAGAATGGTAGAGTTGTGAGAATATAAATTTTTCTTGTTTCAGTCACCCTGTGTGTGATATTGTATTGCAACACTCTACATAGACTCAGGCATCTACTCTCTTGAGCTTTCTTGGTTTCTACAATTGAACATAAAAACAACTCAAAATTATAGTAACCAAAACTTTCCATGAATATTTTCTGACTTGTGTTTTTGAATCTTACTACATTCTACAGTTCAGATCCTATTATATAACTAATTATATTTAGATGATTAATGTAATGGTACTTCTGAGCTACTTAAATAAAAGTAGCTCATTCTCCTTATTAATTTGCTCTACATCAATAATGTTCTTTTAATGTCAGATAAAATATTTATTTATGCTATTGCTATTGTAGAAATATTGTCAAGATTTCTTTGATTAATATAAAATTAGACACTAAAAGTTCCTGTATTTAGGACACACTAGTTACAGGTAACAGCCTTTACAGTGGCAGAGGCCCATGGTTTTTAGAAATGTAATTAAAAGTAAGTGGATATCACTGCTTTAACTCTTACCTCCATATTTTTAATATGAAGTGATTAAATATCTACATCATCTTAGGAATTACAACATTTTAAAAATAATATTAAACTTGTCATTTACAAGTTTCTGCCAAAGCTCAGTCAAGTATTAAAAAGTCCATAGCTTTGTGTAAATTACTAGAAAATTGACCTAAAAAATCTGGAGATGACAAGAAGAGTATTCTGTGATCTTTCTTCTAATATTCAAACTGAAAATACCATTGATGGAAAAAGTAGATGTTGAGGAAATTATATAGGTGACTCAAAATCAAGTTGCAAGTCCGTGCATGGATTATATGAGAGAACAATAGTCCTGGGATTAAGAAATAAACTAACTATCCTGACTGTGCCATTAAGTACTGAAGCATTTTCCCTTTTGAACTTTAATTTCATTTTCACAGTCATAGTTATGTGGTAGGATAGTTCCTTTCAATATTTTGCTAATTTAAAAATCGAATTTATATTCATGCATTCTATGTGTTCAAATCCAATGTTCTGAAGCTACTATGTGCCAATCAAACTGCATTTACAAATAGTTCCTGTGACATTATAATGATGTTTTATGGATTTTCCCTTTTGGGGAGATACATACAGTAGCTATCATTAATTTTTACTGTCATAGATTGAAAACCGTGTACCTGAATGATCTGCAAAGACGCAAACACAATTTGGTACACAACTAAGTCTCTGGAAGAAGTTTAAACAAAGCTTGATGATGTGCAATAATAAAACAGTACCTGAAATCATATGTTAATGATGATTGCACAATCTCACTTTTTTATTGGAAGTTTGGATAAAATATTGCTTAGGTTCTTCCATATTTGTGACATCCATTTAATTCGATTGATAATTACATTTGTACACTCATTCAAACATGCATTAAGATTCATTTATGCAACAGGTAATGTCTTTGTGGTGCCACCATTCTAAGATTACGGGAAAAGGTGGTGTAATGAAGGGGATTCCAGATAATAACAATTAAAGTGATGGAGGACATTGGAAAATGAGTACACAGGGCGAGCTAAAGTGGGACAAATAATGCCGGGCAATCATTAGAGATGCTACAGCTGTTGAAGAGGGATCACAATGTTAGGAGCAAAAGGAGGTTCTAGGAAAAGGTTCCCACTAACAGAACCTTGAGGAATAGCTTGGTTTTAGCCCAGAAGAGAAAGACTGATTATTTCATTTCTTTACTTTACTCTGACACTGTTCATTTGCATTATGATTATTATAATTTGGGAAATTATAAAAAAAGTATAATGAATGTTTTTCTGGAATGGACTTATTGATTATCTGAAATATCTTAACTGAGTCCTTAATTAAAGGTAGATAGAGCTTGATTAAGTGAAAATGAAATTTAAATTGCTTTATGATGATGAATAGGCAAACGTATATTCATATATATGCAGGTTATATGATGCAATGAACAGACAAATGTATATTCATATATATGTATGTGCATATGTATATGGCATACAGAGGAGAATTTGAGAAGAACCTGTTTTCGAGAAACAGACACTGCCAATGCAATGTGAATAGGCATCTTTAGAAGTTCGTGTTATACCTAAGACAGAGGGAGCTATATACTATTCCCGCCTGAACAGTTACAGCATCAAGACAATTGACAACTGATCCAAAAAATAGGGCTGCAAGACCCCCAAATACCAGACAAAAGACTACATTCTTTATCTTGCAGGCAAAAGAAAGCCACAGGAAATATTTTCCTTCACAACTCTGCCTTGAGAAAGCCTGGGGCATGGACAGAGAAGTGAAACTTGTGACAAGAATTCAGATTTTTCAACTTTGAGCCCATTTCTGCTCACTATGCTAAAGTTCTTTTGGCTCTTTTTTCCGTATTCCCGAGAGCTGACTACTCTGAATTTCTGAGTGGCTGCCCGTGTAGGGGTGAGTGTTTAGAGGACTTTCCATGGTGATGGTTGCCATGACAACTGTCTTCTTGATATTCACTTGTTCCTCACATCTGCTAGTGTTTTGTTTATGACCATTGGAGAGAAGCATCCCTGCATGAGGCTAGCAAGAAGAGAGGGCTCTCTGGTCTCACCCAGAGAAAGCAATATTTACACAGCCCAGATGGGAGCATTTTGCTGTATCTTTTCCCCTCTGTTTTCACACAAGGCGGGATCTGCTGGACGCAATGGAGTACGTCAGTGATCCAGGATAAAAGTTGGAAATGTAAAGGAAATGGAAAAATGAAAGGAATTAATGGCATCTGTGTGAGAAATCCCTGATCTGATTTTGTATGACTCTCTCAGTGGGATATCTGAAGTGAAATCGCTTTTATTCTTCAAAGCTTTTCTAAGGCCAAGGTTTATTAATATGCGGTTTCTAATATACAGTACATTCAGAGCTGCCTTAAGATGTGTACAGGAGATCCTGATCTTGATAGTGGTGAAATCTATGAGAAATTCACTGTTCCAGCGCTGAACTCTTCAAACACAGATGCCTGTAATGGAAGTATTTAGTATGGAAGGGTAGGATAATCACATCCCATTTTAAACAGAAACACTGGTTTGGCCATAATGGACTGAAAACAACTGATACTCAGATATAGATTTACAACTGTGTTTCCATAGAAGATAGGATTCAGTGTAGATCATGGTCCATCAGGGATAAAATATGTTATTAGGAGCTTGGTACCCTGTAGATATGAAATGTTTCTGAATTCTAAAAAAGAGAAAATTCATGTGTGAAGCAATGAATTTGTAATATGGTACCAACTTTCTATTCCGCTGGAAAAATGGAGTAGAAACCAAATCAAGAAGGAATACAGTCATCTGGACTGACTACAATTTCTGGGACTGAGGAAGGAGGAGATGCCCCTTGCTGAGAAAGACAATGGGACCTTGTGTTCTCGAGGCATACAATACTGAAACCTCAAGAATTTAAATAGCCCCAAGTTGCTAGTTGAGCTAAACGTCCAGTGCTAAAGGGAATTTAGAAATTGTAGTAATGTGGGCAAGGGCTAGAAAATTCCCATGCTTAAAACTTTGTCAGGCTAGTTAGGGTCACTTCAAGGAAAAATGGTTTTTGACTTCTGGTGTGTGTTTCTAGGATACTGGTTGAAAGAGTTGAATGCCTCATCATTGCTAACCCATTTATTGAAATGCTTTGTATTAATATTGATGGAACAAAACTATAAGCCTGAGTCACTCTTGCTCATTGCCCAACAGAGAGACAAACAATGGAATTCATCCCTTGCCCTTGAATCCCAATTGGGTCTCACACTCTATGGCCTTTACACTCCACACGCACATTCTTCCCCAGGTTCTGAGGCCCTCCACGTGGCCACCTGAAAGACCAGTTCCAAGGAATTCACCTCCCCTGTTGCCCCCATCCCAACCCCATTGCTGGCCATCCTAAGATATAAAAAGGCCTGCCCCTGGGGTCAGGGCCTCCTGCCACATGTTTCATCAATGTGCGTGTCAGCAGTTCACCATCCAATTCTGTGAATTTATTTTCTATGGATAAATTTGGCCTGGCTGTAGATTCGCATTCTGCCTCTTCTCTTTCTGCACCTCTTTTCCTAACAATTATTTTAAAGAAAATTTATTCAGAAAACATGAAATATTGACAGTTGAAAATAGTATTACTATTACTTATAAATTTAGATATTAAGATATAGGGATGGCATTGTGGCGTAGTAGGCTAAGCCTCTGCCTTCAGTGCTGGCATTCCCTATGGGCACTGATTCAGTTCCTCTTCCAATCCAACTCTCTGCTAAGGCTTGGGAAAGCAGTAGAAGATGGCCCAAGTTCTTGGTCCCCAGCATAGGTGACTTGGAAGAATCTCCTGGTTCTTGCTTTGGATAAGACCAGCTCTGGCTGTTGCACCCATTTAGGGAGTGGATGGAAGACCTTTCTCTCTATCTCTCCTTCTCTCTGTCTGTGACTCTACCTCTCAAATAAATAAACAGAATCTTTAAAAAGAAACCATCGTATAAGTTAAGTTGCCTGGCTACAACATAATACCTATTACATGAGACAATAGTGTTAATGCGATCTTATGAGTTATTTTGGAAAAAAGCACTACTTCTGAATGGTACCATGGTATGTTTATTCCTCAAAACCTAGAGTAAGTGAATTTATTTAATTTACTTTTAAAATTAAAACAAATAGCAGCAAAAACCTTATACTAAGATGAATTTAATATTATTTTCTTTTGTTATTTCTCCATGCATGACAAATTGCATTCAACACAGGCTGGATCTCAAGTTTAAGAACTTTTGATTTTCATTGCACAAATACTGTTCTTACTTTTTTTTCTTTTCATTACACTGAAAGCCATACAGTACCACACAGGCAAGTTAATTATTTTGGAAAGTTACTCTCAAAACAGAAATTCAGAAAATTTCACTCGTGCGATAGCTCTGGAATGGCTAACTCAACAAACTACAGCGGTTATTCCCATTTGTAATGCAAAGCTCAGGTAAGCCTTTTCCCACTAATTTACTTAATCTTATCACAATGCAATATCATTTCTCAGGGCTGGATTTCAAGCATACATATGTTCATAATCCCAAGAGCTAAAAATTCAAGATAAATTCATTACATATGAAAAAGAAGCACAATTTTAATATGAAAACCCACATTTAAACAAGTTACAGCATTTATATTTTTTTAAAAAGATTTATTTATTTATTTATTTGAAAGTCAGAGTTACACAGAGAGAGGAGAGGCAGAGAGGTCTACCATCCAATGGTTCACTCCTTAGTTGGCCTCAACGGCTGGAGCTGCGCCCATCTGAAGCCAGTAGCTTCTTCCAGGTCTCCCACACAGGTATAGGGGCCAAGGCCTTGGGCCATCTTCTACTGCTTTCCCAGGCCACAGCAGAGAGCTGGATTGGAAGTGGAACAGCCGGGGCTCGAACCTGTGCCCATATGGGATGCCGGGCGCTTCAGACCAGGGCATTAACCCACTGCGTCACAGCTCTGGCCCCATGTTACAGCATTTATAAATAATATGTATCAAAAAGCAAGATGATCACTTCTTTTTACAGTCAGAATTACAGAGAGAGAGAGAGATACACACACACATCTACCGGTTTACTCCCCAGATGGCCACAATGGCTAGGGCTGGGCCAGGCCAAAGCTCAGAGCCAGGAGCTACTTCCAGGTTTCATTCCTGGGTGGCAGGGACCAAAGCATTTGAGCCATCCTCTTCTGCTTTTTCCAGGTAACCAGGAGGCTAAATCACTATTTTGAAAAGATAGAAAGAGAGAAAACCACAAAGCAATCTATAGCAGACTCACAAAAGGCAGTAGGCAAGAAATCAAAACACTAGTAGAAAAAAAATGTCTAACCACAAAAATGAGATTTTTTAGAGATGAAGAAAGAAAGAAAAAGGAAAAAACAAAACAACCTAGTAAGCAAGAATCAACATGGCAATAGTAAAACCTATCAGTAAATGTAAATTGATTTAATTATCTGATTAAAATGTACAGTGAAAAAATGGATTATAGGGAAAGGGAGAAAACTATATGACACTTATAAGAAAATCACATAACCTCTAAAAACATGGATAAATGAAAATATGGAAAAAATAACTCATGCAAATGGAACTCAAAACAAAGTAGGCTGGGGCTGGTGTTGCGTCTTAGTGGGTAAAACCACCACTTTCAGTGCCAGCATCCCATGTGGGCACTGGTTCAAGTCCTGGCTGCTCCACTTCCAATACAACTCTCTGCTATGGCCTGGGAAAGCAGTGGAAGATGGCCCCAGTCCTTAGGCCCCTGCACCCACATGGGACACCCAGCAGAAATGCCTGATTCCTGGCTCTGGATAGGCCCAGCTCTAGCAGCTGCAGCGATTTGTGGAGTGAACCAGCGGATGGAAGCCTATCCCCCTCTCTCTGCTGTGCCTCTCTATAATTCTGCCTTTCAAATAAATAAATAAATCTATTAAAAAACAGAGTAAGAGTAGCCATAATTCTACAGGATAAAATAGCTTTTACATAAAATCAGTAAAACAGACTAAAAGATCAGTATCTAATGAAAAGGGCTGAATATAGCAAGATGAATTAACACTTCCAAATATGTATGAATGTAATATTGGAATACCAAATATGCATGACAACTATTAATAGACTAAAATGGAGAGATAGCCTGAAATACAGACTATTAAAGAATTTAAATATTTAATACTCCACTTTCAGAATGGATATCCAGACAGAAAGTTAACAAAGAAACACCAGAGTTGAATTGTTCCTGAAATTAATTAGTTCTAACAGACATCTATAGAACTTCCATGCAACAGCTCAAGAATATACATTCTTCTCAACAGCCCATGGAACATTATTGAGGGTAGATTATATGGGGGGTCATAGATCAAACTGCATAGAATTAAAAACAATAGGTATCATGTTGGGTATTTTTTTCTGATTGTAATGCAATAAAATTAGAAAACATTAGCAAGAAAACTTTGGAAATTTCATAAATATATGGAATGTAAACAATTTACTCCTGAAAAACCAACAGATCAATAAAGAAAATTTAGATTTATAAATTAATGAAAATGGAAACACAACGTTCCAAAATCTATGGGATACACACAAAGTGTTATGAACAGGAAGGTTATACCAATCAGTAATTACATCAAAAAGAAGAAATATCACAAATTCGAAATTCATCATTGTATATTAACAGAATAGAAAAACAAGAAGAGACCAAAAGTTAGTGGAAGCAAACAAATAATAAAACTCAGAGCAGGAATTAATGAAAGGGGACTAAAAAGCTACCCAAATAAGCAATGAAAAAGGAGTTATTTCTGTGAGAATGTAAACAAAATTGGTAAACCCTTCACTAGATTAAGAAAAAAAGAGTAGATACAAACATAGAAAATCAGAGAGGAAAAGTGAGAGGTTACAACTGACAACAGAGAAATTCAAAGGATCCTTAGAGATTATTATGGAGAAGGGATTTCTTCCAGTCATTCACGAGGCCAGCATTACTTTAATATAAAAATAAGACAAGGATACAACAAGAAAAGAAAGCTGAAGGTCAATGTCCTTAACCTACATACATGTGAAGTCTTCAAAAATACTATTAAACTTATTCCAACAGAACTTTGAAATGTTTATTCACCCCACTTATATGGAATTCATCCAGAAATGCAAGGATGTATCAACAGTTACAAATCAGTAAGTGTCATACAGCACATTTATAGAATCAAGGACCAAGATAACATGATACTCTCAATATATATAGAAAATAATTTTGACAAAATTTAACATGCATGCATTCATGATAAAAAAAAATCCCTGAATAACTTAGGTATAAAAGGAATACACCTTAGCATTGCACAGCCCACAGATAATAATCAGCAACTAAAATCCTACTGAATGCCACAAAAAACCTGAAGGCTTTCTAAGTTCTAGATCAAGACAAGGATATCAGCTTTTATTGCTTTTGTCAATATGGTACTGGAATTCCTTGCCAGAACAATTAATCAATAGAAGGAAATAAAGGTCATCCAGAAATGGACGTTTGACCTAGAGGTTAAGACGGTGGTTGAGATGCCTGTATCACATAATGGAGTGCCTGGTTTGATGTTCTGATCCAACTCTTGCTTTCAAATTTTTGATGTACAGACTCTGAGAAGCAGTAGTTGACAGCTCAAGTGATTGGAACACTAATACCCACATAGGATATCTGAAGTGAGTTCCAGCTCTTGACATTAGCCTGGCCTATTGTAGGCACTTGAGTGAACCAGCAGATGGAAGGACTGTACCTCTCTCTCTCTCTCTCTCTCTCTCTCTCTCTTCTCCCCTCTGTCTCTCCCACTCCCTCCCTCCCTGAAGTAAATATTTTTTAAATAGAAATAAAAGTAATCAAATGTAGAAGAAGTGAGTTTGTCACTGTTTGCTGATGATATGAATGTATATGTATCATAGACTCTACCAGAAATGTTGAAAATAATGAGAAAATTTGGCCAAGTTGCAATAAATAATATCCATGTTCAAATATGAGTAGCCTTGTGATGCATTGATAGCCATATAATCTGAAAAAAAAAAAACAAGAAATCAATCTTATTTAAAATAATTACAAAAATGTCAAGGAAATAATTTAAACAAAAACATGAAAAATCTCTTGCATGAAAATTATAAAACACTGATGAACAAAACTGGTGAGTAAACAAGGTATGAGAAGACGCCATATCTTGATGAATTGGAACATTCTTGACCAGGCCCACACAATCTAAGTTGATTAACATATTCAATGAAATCCCTAACAAATAAAAATGACACCTTTTATAATTTTTGTGGAACCAAAGAAGGTTGAATATTCAAAGAAAATCTTGAGAAAATAGATAAAGCAAGATGTACCACACAATTTGACTTTAAACTATGTTATTAAGCTATAATTATCTTTGTAGCATTGTTACTTTTTTATTTACTGTATTTTTTGAATTACAAACAACCTGTTCAACTGATCCCTTCATTGGAGGCTGTTGAAGTTGCTTCAAGAAAAACATAAAATATTAAATATTTTGTGGCTAAGCATTTACATTTTAAATAAAAACAATACAAATGTAATTTCTGTGTCATAACTATTCACATTTAAAAATTTTACACAGGACTCACTCAGTTGCCCTCCAGTAAGTTTTTATCAGTTTATACCTGAGCAGAATATGAAATTTTCACTTTCATTTCTCATTTCACTTTTTCTCCTTTTTATTCCCATCAATAGTGACTCATGTATATAATAAAAAGGAGAAACTGATGAAAAGTTTAATTAAAATAATTTAAACTGAGGCAATTGATTTTATTGTCTATGAGGGAAAGATTATATGACTTTTTTAAAAAATTCTTATTTATGTTTTCTTTTTTTAAATTAATTAATTAATTTAGTTTTCAAGGTGAACAAAATACATGTTTAGCATATATGCAGATTTAGGAGCATAGTGATACTTGCCACTCTACCCTCATTCCCGCCCAGGCTGCCACCTTCTCTCCTCCTTCCTCATTCTCTTTTAATTTTTATGCTGATCTACTTTCAGTTTATTTCATCCTCATAAGATTAACCCTACACTAAGTAAAGAATTCAACAAATAGTGAGCAGAAAATAGCACTGTTCCACAATAGAGACAATGGCTATACACAAGCAATGAATCTCTAAATGTCAATTTTTGCTCATACATTAGATTTTTTTTTTTTTTTTTTGTACTCTGTTAGCTACCATAGATCAGGGCAAACACAGGTTTTGGCTTTTTGGAACTGGTTTATTTTACTAAGTATAATGGTTTACAGTTGAATCTATAGTAATTAAAACAGTATATGATTAGCATTTTAAAAAAAGAGAACAAAGGAACAAGATACAGATTCTTAAAGTAAATCCATGCATCCATAATTAACTGAACTTTAACAAAGTTACCAAAAATAACAAATTGGAGAAAGGACTGTCTTTGCAATAAATGTTGCTGAGAAAACTAA